CTCAGACACTTACACAACACATCCCTGGAAGAACAAAACATTGTCAGAGGTGTTTATTTTGTCTCGGAATATGTCTTCTTCTGCAACACTTTAGAGGGCACTGGATGTCTCTTTTAGATCACAGAGGAGAGAAAAAGACTCCCATCCCTCTGGCATGGTTGCATAATAACCAAGAGAGAATGTTTTTTCAGCGGCAGCTCTGTGATGTTGCACATCACTCGGGTTTGTTGGGTTTCTGCTTCCATCGTCCCTGTCAAAGAGGCACCGACAAAGAATCCCGCTTCTCTCCATTTCAAGGCACAGAATCGGATCAATCCGTAATGCTTCGGTGCGGATTAGTCTTTGTAATTATTTGAGATCTCATTATCAAACAGCTGCTCTGCCTAATTTAATCAATATTTAGTGATAAGGCTTCCCGCATGCATTCAACTGCAGAGCGAGGTGACATTAAACAGGCTACAGCCGATTCTTACCGTCTCTTTAAGTAGGTCAAGATGCAGGGTTTTCCTTTAGAGTTATGCAACTTCAGGCTTCTGGACTAGAGTGATTCAAAATACTCAAGAGAACGAGGGATATTTTTAAGAATGCATACGCCTGGATTGTGAGCATCACATTTTTATTGCTGTGGCAATAGGATTAGATAAATTGCCTTGCATAGAAGATATTTCTTTTGCATCCACACAGCTTTTATTGTATCTGGCTAAATTAACTCTTATCTTTAACACACATTATTTGACTTCTCTTTCCTTCCCTCTCTTGGGATGACAGTGTTTTTGGCCGTATGTTGACTTTATTAACACCATCTCTTCCTAAACACACAGAGTCCCTTGACAGAAGCGCAAATCCTCAACATATAGACTGTTTCCTAATCAGAAGCACACAGCTGGGCTTTCTGCCCCAAAATGCCACTGGTATACCATGACCCCAGTTAACCTTTCTATTTAAAACACAGAAAATCCCTTAAGCAAACTCCAGTCTCCTATCTCTTCGGTGCAGCCTCTAAAGAGTATTGCGAAAAGGACTCAAGAAAAAGAATGAAAGAAAGAAAGAAATGAGTTAAAACACACCAGGATGTGAATCTAACCCTGAAGGTACATTACATTTAGGAGTCGTTTGTACAGCAATCACACCAAAACGTTATAGTCAATAAGACTGAAGGTGTGAATTTGTCACACCTTCTGCCGTTTTGGATCAGATCCTGACATCAGACCTGGGATGTACATGTTTTATTAAAGATGTCTGATGAAGGCCAATGTTCGCTCCAGGATGTTTGTGAGACATGGATGAACAGAGCGCAGACGCCTCTAAGTCTCAGAGTTCTACCTGAGTGACCTGAGAGAAAATGATGGAGCGGCCTCATCTGTGCTGTATTATAACTGTGGTCTATGTGAAAGGTCTCTGTATCGATCTACAGTACATAGTCGATATTCATAACCAGCAATGATAATACTGTCTCTCCAGAGCCCGAGATGTCAGGAGGGATAAGGTCAGCCTGTGTCCGTCTGGTGTAATGCACAGCAAAAAAAAAAAAAGTCAGTATATGAATTAGTCGGGGAAAAGCATAAAAACATTTTCTTAGATTTATTTTTAAATGTAAATATGAAAAAAAACGTAATATATTAAATATAAATAATAAATGTAATGTGATAATATTTAATTATTTAAAATTATTATTATAATGGATTTTAATAATATGATATAAAATATCAATTTAGTTTTTCCAAGTAAATCCTCTCTGAAAGTACAGCATGTCCAACCTTGAAGCAGATGAGCTACAGCAGCAGAAGACACACCGGTGCCACTCCTGTCAGATAAGAACAGGAAACTGAGGCTACAATTCACACCAAAATTGAACAATAGAAGATCGGGAAATCGTTGCCTGGTCTGTTGAGTTCATTGTCTGCTGCAACATTCAGATGGTAGGGGCAGAATTTGGTGTAAACAACATGAAAGCATGGATCCATCCTGCCACCAATGGTTCAGGCTGGTGGTGGTTTAATGGTGTGGAGGGTATTTTCTTGGCATATTTTGGGCCCCTTAGTACCATTTGAGCATCTTTTAGATGCCACAGCCTACCTGAGTATTGTTGCTGACCATGCATCTCTTTATGAACACAGTTTACCATCTTCTGATGGCTACTTCCAGCAGGATAACGCGCCATGTCACAAATCGTGTCAGCGAGTTGACTAAACTCACACTGTAAACCCTAACGCTCAAAATACTTAATTGGTTTGAGTAGGAAAAACTTAAATTAAACTAATTAGTTCAGTCAAATTAACTTTTATGAGTATTTAGCACTTTCTTTTTCTTTCAAGTTCACAGAATGGATATATTTTAAGTAAACTGAACTGTTTCATTGTTTTGAGTTTTATGAAATTATTTCTTTTAATTTAGACGAACATAAGTTTAACTGAAATGGCTGGGATGTATATTTCCCAGCATGCTTTGCCGATGGCACTCGAAAGCTAAAATTGAAATGCTAAAATTAAGTGTAATACAATGTTTTTTTTGTGCAAGATTAATGTTAAGCGGGTGATTTAGTAATGATTAATGTTTCGTTATGCTAATTTAGAAGAATTTCTGTTAATGTTGGTTTTAGGATAGTTACCATCATGGTGACAAGTGGTGCATGAGCTTGATTTGAGAGCAAATTAAACCTTTATATTGCTGCAAGTGTTACTGTATAGCATACTATTGTTAAGAAGTTAACAAAATAGTATGTTAGCAAACTAGCTTGTTAAAGCTAGCTAAGTTTATACTAATAAAAGTGTTCACATTGAGATTACATGAAATTTTAAGTTAAATGTATGAATTAGTGTACTCAAACATTTCAAGTTAAGAACAATTCAAATGTACAAATACAAAATAAAAATATGTCAGTTCTGCTTACTTAAACTTTGAATTTCTTAACTTAAAAAATTTGAGGCAATTTATTGCCTTAAATTTTTTGAGTTGTGCCAACTTATTCGGGTTTACAGTGCAATTGACCTCCACAGTCACTAGATCTCAATCCAGTAGAGCAGCTTTGGGATGTGGTGGAATGGGAGATTCGCATCATGTGCAGCCGAAAAAATCTGCAGCAAATGCGTGATCTTATCATGGCATTATGGACCAGAACCTCTGAGGAATGTTTCCAGCACCTTGCTGAATCTATCCCATGAAGAATTAAAGCAGTTCTGAAGGCGAAAGGGGATCCAACCACTAGCAAGGTGTACCTAAAAAAGTGGCCGTGAGTGTATTTATATATAATCTGGAAATGGTGGCATGTGGTGAATATCATGGTACTGTAAAATTATATTCATACCACATTCATTTTCTTATATTTTGTATTTTGTATCTACTCTGTTGTTTTGCTATTTAATGACCCCCATGAAAACGAGATGTTTCATCTCATGGGGCTGATCCTCTAATAAATGTTCATAAATAAATAAATAAATACCAGGTATCTTGGTATTTTAAATAAGTTTTGCAATCATAGTTGAATGATGTAAAGCCATGCATAATCTCTTCATTTCATTTGAGCATTGTCTTATCGACTTTCTGTTACGTCTTGCCTTCTGGTGTTGGAAATAAATCTTTTGACCATGTGTGCATTTTTTTTTTTTTCTGTGGTAAAGTGTCTATGACCAATCTTGCGAGTGTGGTGGCCTTTTTGCCCCTGTGCTAGGGACCAGGTGTGTTTTCCACTGAATTACACACACTCTGATGAGAGCACAGCGAAGCAGCAGGTGTCTAATTTCACCCTGTCTTCCTCCTACATTCACTCACATCCACACATCCTTCAAACACTACACACACTACTTCCATAACAATCCCACAATTTCACACAGCTAAAGGACATATAAAGACAGAGAGATGGAGAGACAAATAGAAGATAAGAAAAAGTGGTATAGAGTTGAGAGTAAAACTGAGAAGTGCTCACAGTCATAAAGAAACTCACCACAAACCAAAAGCAGAAACCAAGTTCAAGTTCCTGTCCAGAAAGACGTCTTCTCAGAAGAGGATGTTACATAAAAGCATTTATTTTTAGCACTTAAAACTGTATAAGATTAATATGAGCTGTGTCGTTATATCAATTAAGTTTTATAGCATGCCTATGCTTTATTTTCTTCGATTTTGATTTGATAAAAAGGCATTTCTCACAGGAGAAGTGAAACTTCAAATCAGGCATACAACTAAGTACAAACTACTGTAATTTGTGAGCTGTAAGTGACAATTGACATTACTTTGACTTGCAGCCAGCAGAAGAGAATGTTTTTTTTTATAAAAATGTAAAAGATTCCAGCTATGGGGGATTTTTGGTGTGTCTCCTGTCATGTATCCCCACCTAGTGTTCAATGTTAAAACAACGTAAAGGTAAGTCCAAAGTCCAGGTTTTATAATGAACCTGACAATTAACTAAATGCCTGAACGAACACTGTGTTCTGTGTATTTGTGTTTAAAGATGCCGATACTTCTTTCTGCTGCTTCTTCTTTTGAATCTCTCTTCAGAAGATTCAATTCCTGCTTATTGAAAAAGAGTGTCAGGTGTTCTTGAAACAGACCTGAAACAGTGTGGCCTTGTGGTCAAAGCATTCATTCTTTGATATTATATTACGATATTATATTACATTATGTTATTTGAAATATCATAAATATACATTTAAGTATTTTTTTTTATTTAGTTAGTTATAGTTTACTTTTTCTTTGTCCTTCAAAAAACAGCATATAGTAAAAACAGTTTGGAATACAGAAATCAAATTCCCAGTTTTTTATATTTTTTCTTGATTTATTCAATAACAATTCCAAAAAAATATATATATTCATATGCACAATATATTCATTTTATGACATTGTATGTTTTTTTTACTATAAAATATCGAATATAAAAAAAATACATTCTTGATAAGAAAGAGAGAGTCGAGAGAATGATAAAAAATACAGCTTTTCAAAAGAGAGTCAACATTCATCATAAAACAGTCATAAATGTTACTTATTTATATCGTACATTTAGGTTTATATCAGTTGGCTGGCACACATTGAACATAAAAGAAATATTAAAAAAATTTAAATTGTTTTCTTCTGTTTGCGTCCCTTTCCACCTTTTCTTCTATTTTGTCTTGGTGAGGCTTTTGGATCAGAGTTTTGTTTTGACATTTTTTTCTGGTCCACCATTTTCATAATATCTTTGGTCCACTCCGAGTCTGGGTCACAACACTTTGCTTTGCCTTTTTTGATCCACAAGCTAGAGAGAGAACAAAAAAACGGGAGGGATGGGATTGAAATGTTTAATTCAATATGACTTGAGTGATAGATTACATTTTAAAGCACTGTAAGATCCAGAAGTTGTTAACTTTGGATTTAAACTTATAATTAGATAACTTAAAGTCAAAAACTGCAACTTAAGGTCATGTAGAGTGAGAATCTGTTCACTTACACAATGGCATTGATAGCGCAAGCTCCTGCTTTCTGGACTCTATAATCCACCACTCTGTATTTATTTATTCTGCAGTTGCCAGTCTTCAAACAGCAATTTAAAGAACGCTGACTTGTTTCTGTGAGACAAAGATATTGCAGATATTTTTTAAACATTAAACCGTCTCAAAACTTGACAAAAAGTTTCCCACAGATTTGATTAAATGTTCACAGTGACTTCTCCCAGCATCATGACTGGGTAACGAAATAGGTAAAGTTAAAACTCACCTGCAGTACGACAGAGCAGAAACAGCACCAGGCAGACAGGAAGATAGACAAGCGACCTCATCGTAGCTGTGCAGTAGACGATGACTGAAACTACTCTTCACACAACCTTTATATTTCACACTTTCATTTCCTCTGCTCTTTTGTGCACACACTCACAAACCTCAACCCCCTACAATGGGGAAAGTGTATGAGTGAGAGAGAATGTGTGTTAGAGAGAGGCAAACCTCCATCCGATGAGTGGAAAAACACACTAGTGATGATCTCTCGGTTTGGTCCTTCACCGCCTTAGCTCGCCACAGTGTGGGTGCATGCAGGCCTACTGTAGATGAATGGAGTTCCATTGCAAGAATAAGCCTACATGCCCAACAGAATTGCTCAGCCTTATGACACGTGAGAATGCATACAACTTTAGACTTGTTTTATTTAAAGATCCAATGCTTCACATTTAAATATCCTGTCTTGTGATACTACTCCACCAAAAAGGCCAAATAAAATACCCCAAAATCAAATTATTTTTTAAATATTGCCTAGTCCCTATGGGGTCCCTATGGAAAGCGTCATAGCCATTGAACTGTGTTACAAGTGTTGGAGACTCAGATGCTGGCAAGCTGCTGCCTGCTGTTTTGGCAACTGCTTTCACAATGTCGTATACCCAACGCCCCAAGTAAGCCCGAGCGGTAGTCGGCAAAAGGGATGGAAGGGACAGGACTTACTCTGGGGATGGTCATATACTGTTCCTTAATCATGACATTTAAAGGGTAAGAGTGCTTCGGATCTCAATTCCCACTGTTTTTCAGCCATGACCAGTGTTGCTAACACTGGGGAAACGTGCCTAATCCAATGCAGAGGGACGCTATAGAGACCACACCCTGCCAAAAGGTCACGAGAGATTGGCATGGTGTACTTTCCATAAGATCATCTCTCAATGCAAATCAAACCAGCTATTAGGCTAACTGAAATAAAACCATGCCAATCTCTAGGTATGGTGAAGGGTATGTGATGATGTGGGGCTATTTTAATTCCAAAGGCCAGGGAACTTTATCAGGATCCATGAAATAACTGGCATTTAAAAATAAAAATCTGACTGCCTCTATGGGAATTTAACATAGGGGTGTACTGACTTATGCCCCCTGTATTTTAAGGAAGAACATGCATTTATTCATTTACGATACATTATTCATTCACAAAGAAAATTGGTGTCCTTAAAGGTTGGATTTTTCCTCATTTTTTTAATTAAGGCATTAAGATCAATTTCCAAAAAATGCTTTTTTAGTCAACTTTAGCATGGGTGTATTCACTTATGCTGAGCACTGTATCATCCATCCATTACCCTGGTTTAGGCGCCTTAATCCACGTCTGCTTTTCTGAATGCAAGCAAGTATATGAGATTATTACGATGCTTTTGCTCAAAACTCCCTTTAAGTGTTTGTATACCTTCCTATTGTGAGTTAGCAACCCTTTGTGGATTTTCTACATTTAATGCGAAGAATTGCATCTGTGAAGAACACACACGGTTTTGGCTAGAATGGATACAGCTATGGCCGGAAGTGACGCCAAATCTCACCATAAAATAACAATAAATTAAATTAGCTTCTAATCAGATTGTGTTTTATTTACATCTACACCTACCCGAACCCTAAACCTACCCTTACAATAATGCAAATACTGTAATTAATTGTTGTTCAGCATGACAAAAATTATGCAATATTGATGTGTGCATGCCCAATAAGCCCTGGTAGGACAATATGGCCATAGCTGTATCTCTTCTGGCCCCAACCCTGCAAACGCTCTTTTTTTCTGTCTCATGCTCTCACACTGCCCCACTAAATCTCATGCCAAATAAGACAGCGCAGACTTGTTTGGTCTAATACAGTAACTGAACTGATCTAAAGCAATAAAATAAAATCTCTTCTCGCACTTCGTAATCACTACAGACCAGAGCTAGAAGAAACAGCAACAATGAGAGACACGTTTGTACCCCGGTTTGTCCCGTATTTAAGACATCCAAGTCAAAGCCACTTGAAGGCACGTTTCAGACGTTGTCGTAGCAACAGAAACACTTTTCATTCAACACTCTACAATAGGCTATACTAATTCAATAGCAATAAAGTAGGGTCTTTATTTTAGTACCGGTAGTTTTATTTGGATAAATTTGACACAATATAAGGTTAAGATCACATGAAAAGCATTTTTACTGTTATATAAACACAGATTTGTGAGCATTAGCTGAGGATGTCAGATTAAACATGAAACACACATGATCATTGTAATTAGCGGGTGTGGCGAGCAGGAAGAGGGCCGTGAGAGAAGGGCGTGAGGCCGGTGGAGTGATTGCTTATGAGCGACACCTGCGCGGACCACCGGTCTCGTATCTCTCACGGAGGAGCAACGACAGTGAAGGACGAGAGAGGACAGCCCTGGACTTGATGTTATGTTTTGTTTAAATGTGGCGGCAGTTGTCCGTGAGGGGCTGTGTTTTATTTTATTTTATGATGATTAAAGTCTTTGAATGTTCGCAGGTTCCTGCCTCCATCCCACAACCCTTTCTACAGTGAGGCTGGCCAATCTATAAATAGCTGTCGTCCTGGAGCAGCTCTGGATGCGCACAACATACAACACCAGTGGACAGATCAATATCTTCTGACTGAAGCTAAACAAGTGCGTGAGAAACTTGCATAATATGCACTCACAGAGACAGATTTTTTTTAAACTCTGTTCACTCATTTTTTAATGTGTTCTCATGCAATTGAATTAACATTTTTACAATGCTATATATATTTTAAATTTAAACCATGCTCAACTCTAATAAGCATGACTTTATGTAAAACACACTGTCAGCCAACTTATTTGATCTACTCCATCTCTTCTCAAACCAAGTTGTTGTGATTTTCGTGCATCATGCAACGGGGCCTAAATAATGACAATGCAGTAAATATACACAGTGACTAAACATTTGACGTGCTTGTATTATTGGAAAATTACACACAAGGGATACAGAAATAAATGTTAATATAAAATAATTTATTCTGTTTCATCAGGTTGTTGCCAGTAAATGCATTAGTGAAACAAAATTCAAAGTTCAAATCTAATACACATCTAATCGCAAAACTAAATATTAACCACAGTGGGGGTTGGGGCTCTAAACACGCTGAACTGGGAAAAAAAAACAAAAAAACAATTGTACCATACTGACATTTGACATATGTTTATACCATATACAAACATATGTTTCCAAATTCACTTGGCTCAGGTGAAGTAGTCGGTTCATCCTGTACATTCCAGTGTGTTGTGGTTTTCAGCCTTGATTCTGTTTTAAATGTTGATGTGGAGTTTAGGGGATGTGCTGTCATTTCAGTTGCCGCCGCCTTGTCCAGAAATTGCATAACTCTTTTCACCCAAAGATTTTGTGGATTGGCACAAAAAGTTAATCCATTGACAGTTTTAAATCTGTAATTAAAGAAAAAAAAAGTAACAATTTAGCATGAAAATACAACAAAATATAAAAATCTACAAAAGTATGCGTTTCAGTTTTAAAATATTTTGAATAAAAATGGGCAATGTACTAAAATAAGGCCTGGCCAAAAGAATTATTCTGACATATAAGCTCAGATTTATCATGAAATATATTGTTGAATAGGTGTCTGAAGTATATCACAGTGTATACACTTTCACAAGAAAAAAAAGAGCACTCACACAATGGCATCAATATGGCAGACACCTGCTCTTTGTATCTTGTAACTTTTGATATTTTCTTTGTGGAGAACAGTTTCTGACGTCTTGAGACAAGGACAATAAGAAAATCCACTTACTACAAACACCCAAAGGAAACAGCGGGAAAAATTTACTAAAATTTTTTTTAGTCAAGACAATTTACCTGAAAATACTAATTCTAATCCAACCAGGTACAAGTTTAAAAAAAAAGAAGAAAATACAGACCGTTATTAAATTCAGATAACTCAGTTGAAGTAGTTGATGCAGAATTCATGGAATATGATGTCATATTAATTGCCTTCTTCTCGTCCACAAATTGTATGGCTTTTTTCACATAAGGCATTCTATTTCTATTTCTAGTTTTCTTCTGTTTGCGTGTTTCTTCTCCCTTTCCACCTTTTCTTCTATTTTGTCTTGGTGAGGCCTTTGGATCAGAGTTTTGTTTTGACATTTTTTTCTGGTCCACCATTTTCATAATATCTTTGGTCCACTCCGAGTCTGGGTCACAACACTTTGCTTTGCCATTTTTCCAAGTTGTCCACAAGCTAGAGAGAGAACAAAAAAAACGGGAGGGGAGGGATTGAAATGTTTAATTCAATATGACTTGAGTGCTAGATTATGTTTTAAAGCACTGTAAGATCCAGAAGTTGTTAACTTTGGATTTAAAACTTATAATTAGATAACCTCAAAAGTCAAAAACTGCAACTTAGGGTCATGTAGAGTGAGAATCTGTTCACTTACACAATGGCATTGATAGCGCAAACTCCTGCGTTCTGGACTCTATAATCCACCACTCTGTCTTTATTTATTCTGCAGTTGCTCGTCTTCAAAAAGCAATTTAAAGAACGCTGACTTGTTTCTGTGAGACAAAGAAATTGCAGATATTTTTTAAACATTAAACCGTCTCAAAACTTCACAAAAAGTTTCCCACAGATTTGATTAAATGTTCACAGTGACTTCTCCCAGCATCATGACTGTGTAACGAAATAGGTAAAGTTAAAACTCACCTGCAGTACGACAGAGCAGAAACAGCACCAGGCAGACAGGAAGATAGACAAGCGACCTCATCGTAGCTGTGCAGTAGACGATGACTGAAACTACTCTTTACACAACCTTTATACAGGGTTCTCAAGTTTTATCAAAAGCTTGGAGTGAGATCACATGCGGTTAGGGGAGGAGCCCTAATGGAGGCCTGCTCAATAATAATGCATACGATGGGCTATATATTAAATGTTCTACATCTAGCCTAAAAATGTTAGACGAGCATTCTTCCAACTTACCTTCTCCATCACGACGTGTGTTCGCGCGATGTTGTTGGTTACCTAGTAACGAACGTACTGTGGCCGAGAATGTTCCATCAACTTCCCTGTGTTCGCGCATCTATGTTGTCTAGTAACGAACGCAATCTGGCCGAGATACGTGCTGGCGGCTGGAAACTTCACTTTGTGTGCCTGCGCCTCGTA